CCCTTTTGAATTTTAAAACATCAGCCAATTTCTTTTGTAGATCCAGTGAAACATCCTTTTCTAAGTCATTCTTTTGGCCTGTCAGTTGTAAATCCATTTTTGATACCATCTCTATCTTGTCAGATAAAATTTGCTCTATATCTGTCATTTCTTCAATAACATCTTTTGGACATAGTCTATCCATAAACAGACATTACTTACATTGTTGATAATGTTGCTACTAATTTCTGACTCCATTCTTCAAAAATCTCCTTCAGTATTTTCATTGTTATAACATTTTGCATTTTATAGGCTTGCATTTTTTCCCTTTACCTAAAATCTTTAGTCCCCTTTAGTGTCTAGTTTTTGAATCATGAAGTTACTTATCTCTGTTAGATCTTCCAAAAACCAAAACAGAATTATTTTCGATGGGAAGCTGTTTGTTCTTTATAATTAATTCCAAAATCTTATTGTAAAAGTTTCCAAATTTATCTGGATCTTCAGTCTAATTTCTAATATCAAAATGTTATTTAGCTTCTTGCTGTTTATTTCAGATTCTTTAAGTTCTTAAGCTTATAATTATTTTTCTTTTGTCCAGAGGTGAAGATAATCTCACCCAATGAAGACTTTTCAAAGTTGTCGGTCCAAAGGTCTCTAATAGCTTTAAAATGGTTACTAAGCAATTTCCGAGAGTGATTAGAAAGTGAGGTTTGTGAACTTAGTGTCCTTTAAAAGTCTCTACCATGGTTGTGAGCAAGATGGCTAATCCCTTTGTCTCCTGGTGCTTAAACCTGCGGAAAACCACTGTCCTGAGGTCTCCTCATGAGGAGCAGCCATCCGGAGCACATGTGGGCAATCTCTTGTCGTTTCCTTATCTTGAGAGGTTCCAAGGAACTGGTCTACTCACCAGTTCCTTACTCTTTGCCACAGTTGTTGGCTCCACTTTCACCCTGAGGAAGGCTCCTTATTTAGGCCTTTTCACTAACTTCTAAAATATTGAAACTATTTCTTATGTCTCTATACTCATTTCCATCAACCTATTTTTTTTTGCAGCAGTAATTCTGTTATATACACTTTTTCTCTTCTATAGCCTCTTTTACTTTATCATTCTATCAAGCATCCTTTTTCATATATCCAGTTAGCATAACTTTACACATTTCGGTAGCATTCTGTAACATAATACTTCTTACTCTGTTACAAGCCACTTCGTCTGCTGTCATATTTCCATTAATTCTATTATGAGATTTATCTATTTTCTAGTACTTTTTGGCATAGTAAACATAATTTCTCTTTCTTCCAGTTGTGGAAGCTAGTTCTCATGCTTAAAAGTAGATAGTTTGATCCTAGATCTGGCCTTTATCAAAACAAGGAAAAAGGAATTGTCCTTCACCCCCCACAAAAGAGAGTCTCTTCTAATCCTAAATTTATCTAGACTAGTCAGGCTGTGGAGGCACAGGAATCTGAACATTGATTGCAGTAGAAATAGAACTCTCACTTGATATAAAGTAGTTGGAATTCTTTCATGATGGCCTCTTAGCTTTTCTAAAATACACAAGAAGTTCTTTTATCATTGTGTGCTTGTTTTCTAGTCCAGCTTGTCTACTTTCACTCTAGTTTCTTTTGCTTCTTTCCTTTTCTTCCATATCTATTGTTTCCTCAAGATCCACTATTGACATTGCCAAAAAATAATCTGCCCCATATTCAGTACCTCTCATCACCTTTGTACCCTTCACTAATTTTCTTGGCTTTTCATCTTAAGCAATCAAATAAATCATTATTTTAGATTTGCATTCCTTTGCCAGCAGTATGCATGAATAGACTTATGGGTAAATCAGTTATTTGAAAGAAGGAGGCCTTTTCATAAGCAGATACTCATCAAATTGTTACCAATCTTACTCATGCTTTGGTCTCTGAATGGCCCAGTCACTTTGTTTGTATTCTCTCATCTTGTTTTTCCCCTTCCAGTCATGTCATATAAGAGAATATTCTTCCTGATTTATTCAGGATGTTCCCAAAACTCATCTCTGGTTCTTCCATTATCACTATTCAATGGAGCATAAATGGAACTATCACTAACCTGTGGATTTCTATTTTCATTTAGAGTGCTGCTATTGGTCATGCCAATATTTAGCATTATTCCTGAATCTACTCAACTTGTAGAAATATCTGCTTGGTAAATGTGAATGGATTAAACTGTTTGGCTATATAATTAGGATTTTATCTGAAAAAGCTTAAGTTATCTTTTAAAACATCATTTACTAGTAAAGAAATCTGAAAATCTGATAACTTATAATCAAATCATGTAGAACACTGAATCTGGGAATTCAATTTATACTGTTTTTCTTGTCATTCAGAGCTGATCTGTTTAGTATCAATATACCTATAATGTTGCCATGGCCATTCTTTGCTGTAAATTAATCTGTTTCTTTTTGAAGTCATGTTCCCAGTTCAGAATATGGGGATTAGTGCAGGTGATTTGGAAAAATGGAATTAGAAATTCCAGGAAGAAAAGTAATGGCAATACTTACCTGTAAAGTAAGACTGCAGTAGATTTTTCTTATGTTATGGACTTTTCTGTGGACAAACTTTTTTTTTTAACTTTCTATCACTGCAGCTCTAAACTCATATAAATACATTTTCTAAGGATTGATGAAGGGAAAAAAAACGTTGGAATATGTAACAAATTAACTGAGTTTTTATTTCCAGAGTACTCGTGTGATGTGGACCCCTCCTCTCCGTGAAAGCTTTTCATATCCATTCCTTGTGGTTCAGATGTTATTATTAACCTACATTCTCAGGTAGTTTCTTTTCCATTATTAAATATGAAAACAAAATCTTCAAACAAGGTATTAATTTATATATTCATAAATTATAAAATGGTATTATTACTATGTCTAGAATTTGCTTTTATTCATGGTACATAGATTTAATGACACTGATACAAAAGCAGGAAGATGAAAATGCTTTGAGAAAACTCATATTCTCTGAATCAATTTTTAGCTGCACCTTCACTTGAGAATATACTGCAGCTATCAGTCTCCTCAATCTGGTATCCTTCAGATTTGCTGAACTTCTAACTTCCATCATCCCCAAAGAAAGATGATAGGATGAGAGAGATAATTCAACATTTTTGGAGGCTGCCAGATTGGGAAAGACTAGAAACCTCATCTGTTTTTCTTTCCTTTCTCCTTGTAAGTCAGGTCTGCTAATTTTCTGTTACTGGCTCCTGGTAAGGAGTCAGAGGCTTTTCTAAATATGGATTTTCTTTTTCCATAAATGGTAATGAAGCAAATGTATTTTGTTTTTGTAATTTGTCCATAGGAAAAAATTTACTGGGAGAAAAAGAAAGTAAACGTGGCTAAATTCCAACTTCATCTCTATATAAGATCTTCCTTAAAAGCTACTATCATTTCTCCCCTTTCAAGTAAGGGATAATTTAGGATGATCTTGTATACATCTAAACCTAGTAAGAGTTTGTGTCAAAAATTATTTTCTACTCCTGATAAAAAGGAAAAGTACAGTAGTGAAAGATCTCCTGCCAGAGAAAGTGGGGAAATGAAGATCAGACTAACATTAAGTGAAAAATGTTTTGAAAAATCATGGGACTTTAAAAAAAAATCTGTGTTGACCCAAAGTTTTTGTAATTGTTATTAATATATTATACATATATAAGGCATTTTTACAAACATTTCTTTTGTCCTATGTAATGTTATGGTGTTATGGTGAGTGTATCTTTTAAATGTATAACTATCTATTTTATGGATTTTTCTATATATTATTTTGAACCTTAACCAGAGTTTCTGTATTCAAGTCTGTTTAAAAATAATTAATTCATTATTGCTATTTGGATACATTAACAGACCCATTGTTGTTAATCTAAATTACTCTCTTATTCTTTTCCCCAAGGACTCAGAATGTTAATAGAAGAAGCTTGATTGCACTATCTGTTTCTAATGTTTTTTTCATGCTTCCATGGCAGTTTGCTCAGTTTGTTCTTCTGACACAGGTAAGATAATTTCAGTAAACATGATTAGAATTTTGCATTTTTTAAATTTTTACCCCTTTATATTTATATATATTTGTTGTCTCAACTGTTGAAAGCAGGATATAGCAGTGCCAAATTATACCTAAGAACAGTGATAACCTCTGGTTTGATCAAGAATGTGCCATAACCAGGTCCAAATTAGCAGATGGATCAACTGTTTTATCAGGACACATCTCCTTCAAGGCATGAGCTGAGCATTTGGAAGCCCATTTTAGTGGCCCCAGCTGCATAACAATGTCCTGAAGATGTGCCAAGGTGGGATTTAGTGACTTTATCTGAGAACACCAAACTTATCTCTCCACTAAAAGAAGGGAAAGCTGCTGAAAAAGATCAGATATCAGAACTTTTCCAGGCCAACACAGACATATCAATTGTATACTTCAAATACTAGCTGTTTGGTGTAAAACCATTCGAGTCCCCAGTCTTTAAAAAAGGTGACTCCAAAAAAATCCATCAAACTTTTGCTCAGTTATCTTGGTGAGCACTATAAACAAGCTCCCTCTGAAGCTCAGTCTAAAACTGGTTGACTGGTTGATGCAAGGCAGTATCTTAGTAATGGAGCAAGCCAGTGTCCTCCAGCATTTAGATGAATGGTATACTTAAGTCCCCAGAAATATATTATTGAAGAAATGTCTGCCATGTTAGTTGATTGATGACACTAATCATGAAGCAGTATAAGAACAACTCTACATAAATTTGATATGGTTTCAAGAGTCCCTTGTTCTCTTTTTTTATAATAACTTTATTAAATTTTAAAGACAGAAGGATAAAAACTAACAAGAACTAATGATCAACTAAAAGAGTAGAAGAAAAGAAAGAATAAAGAAAAAAAGGAGAACAGAAGCACAGAAAAATAAAAAAACAAATACAAAAAAAGAATGACTTCTTACTTCTTTTGCAATAGATATAAGTAAAACATTAAACTCTTACTCTAGGATTACAATGTAACATTCATTTTTCTATAATCTATTAATTCTACTAATCATCAAACCCAAATATCATAATTTCATTTTTTTCTGTTTCCTGCAAAAAAGTCCAAAAAGGCTTTCCAATCAGCATTAAAATTAGTCAGTGTCTTTTCTCTAATCAGAGCTGTCAATTTTGCCATCTCAGCTAGCTCCATCAACTTTACCATCCATTCTTCCATTATAGGTAATATCAAGTCTCTCCACTTTGAGTATATAAAAGTCTTGCTGCAGTTA